GCATCATCATCACCATTTGATTACTATGTGACATGCATAAGCTGGCATAGTCCTTCTGTGCGTGTACCTGTTCTGGACTCCGCCACCTCTTCTGCAGCACTGTCAACCTTGACAACCAAGGAGTTACAACCCAGATCTGTATTGTTATACATCTGTATATGTACCCCCATGCGTATGTGTGCGCGCACATATCAATTTTATATGTCTATATATTCACTTTCTTGATGAGAAGAATTACATTGAGCCCCAATATAAAGTTTGAGCAAGCTGGCAACATAAGCCTTCCACCTACAGCCTGGAATGTGAATGGATCAATATTCTCTAAGTCATGAGCTAGTGTTCTGGTGAAGGTCTGTGATAGACAAGCAAACCACATGATTTAGAAGAATGAGCAGCTACTTAAACAAATATAGATTGTAAAAAGAACAACTACATTATTATACAGGATTGCAGTCTTGGGGCATTTGTACTAGTGGTCTCAAGCTACCACTAGTAAAACATCCTTGGAGAATTTAAAAATTGTAGTTGTAACTTGCTTTTCCTTACTTTTGACTGCTGAGTGCAGCAACCTTACCTGTCTTTTAAAATCTTTTTTCTGCACAGAATTCTATCTTGGGTCTTGTCACTCTTCTTGCTATGGTATCTGATCACCTCCCAGCAAAGCACTGAGCAATGTGACTAACATCTGACATGAACTGTTTGTTCTCTCTCTCATTCTCTTACCAGGGGATATTTGTATGTGTAGTGGAGGGCTTTGTCAGGTTTTGTGTTTTGATTGCGTGTGTTTATATTAGAGAAGGCATGAATAAGCAGTGTTTGACCTAAGCCATTGAGTGCCCTATGATATGGAACAATACCTTCACTTTGACCTAATATATGATGGCAAAGACTGTCCAACTTTTGAGGGGATGCAAGACTTCCAGCCACACACTATGTGGGTCACATGTTGCTACATAGGTCACACACTACATGGCCTGCATGCTGTACAGCACCATGGGTGCCTCCCCTACTGCACCATGCTAGTGCCCAGGGGTGACGTGTAGGGGGTGCACTGGGTGCACATGCACCCCCTGAGTGTGGCAGTGCACCCCCTGAAAAAAGGTGCTGCCAACAGTGCCAGTAGCATTTGCAGGAGTTCCCTCCCAGCTTACCGCCGCCGGGCTCCCGCTGATGCCAGTGCAGCCGTGCCCTGCCAGCTGCCGGGGGCATGCGCTGTTCATGCGGGTGCCCCTGAACCCTGTAAACCATACCACGTACCACCCATACCACACTGAGGGTCCCCCCCAATGCACTGTGTCAATGCCCCTGCACCCTGAATGCAGTGCCATATGCCTTCTCCCTTGCTGTACCATGCCACTGTCACATGAGGTTCCCAGATCCCTCCCAAGCACCTATCTGTGGACTCCCTTGGCCCTGTGGACCATCCCACCCAACCACCAGTCAGTCTCACCTCCATCCTAGGCAAAGTCTTTGAAAAAACTATCAAGGCTCACATTTGCGAGAGCCCGGCAGGAAAAATTATGCTGAGGGGAAACCAGCACGGGTTCGTAGCAGGTAGATCATGCCTGACTAATCTAGTCTCTTTCTATGACCAGGTTACAAAACACCTGGACGCAGGAGTAGGGGTTGATGTCGTTTACTTAGACTTCAGGAAGGCCTTCGATACGGTATCCCACCCCATACTGGTGAACAAGTTAAGAGGCTGTGACTTGGATGGCTACACAGTCTGGTGGGTGGCGAATTGGCTAGAGGGTCGTACCCAGAGAGTCATAGTGGATGGGTCGGTATCGACCTGGAAGGGTGTGGGCAGTGGGGTCCCACAGGGCTCAGTCCTTGGACTAATACTCTTCAATGTCTTCATCAGCGACTTGGACGAGGGAGTGAAGTGTACTCTGTCCAAGTTTGCAGATGACACAAAACTGTGGGGAGAAGTGGACACACCGGAAGGCAGGGAACAACTACAAGCAGACCTGGACAGGTTGGACATATGGGCGGAAAACAACAGAATGCAATTCAACAAGGAGAAATGCAAAGTGTTGCACCTAGGGAGGAAAAATGTCCAGCATACCTACTGCCTAGGAAATGACCTGCTTGGAGGCATGGAAGCGGAAAGGGATCTTGGAGTCCTAGTGGACTCCAAGATGAACATGAGTCGGCAGTGTGACGAAGCCATCAGAAAAGCTAATGGCACTTTATCGTGCATCA